ACTATCGATGTGGCAACTACGCTACCATTGCAGTAATTATTATTAATCTTGCCAACGGGAATGAGAAGAAGACTGACGCGTTGTCTATTTGACTAGTGTCGAGAGAGATTATCGACATACCAAGGGAAGATACACGTGAATTTACACTGGCGGGTGAATAATGGCCCGATAAATGTAGAGCGAAAGGAAATGGGCTATTTACCAATAATGGTCAAGGTAACTAACAAAATTTTTTTAGCTGATGTTCATTGTCGTTAGTTTTTCTTCATCGTTTCTAACCTTGCATCCGGGCTGTCTAGTCAAACAGATGCAATATCCGTCATATGTATCCAAAAGAGTTGATTCGTCATCACGAAGAATCGGATGAAATGGGTGGCTATTTTATAATAAATGGCATAGAAAAGATCATTCGTTTGCTTCTAGTCCAAAGAAGAAACTATCCCATGGCACTTACAAGAAATTCTTATCTGAAGCGAGGACCTATGTTTACACCATATGGAGTTGCTATTAGATGCGCACGCGAAGATGAGACGACGCAGTCTATCGGTATTAATTATTTAAAAGATGGTGATTGCGTATTCCGTTTTACGTGGAGGAAACAGGAATTCACGATACCTCTGGTATTGGTGCTAAAGGTTGGCAAATTGTTGACTATGGACTGTTTTATATTATGGATAATAACTAACTATAAAATGATCTATACAGTCATTATTGGACACAAATGATAAGGAAATTTTTGATGCTGTGGTTCAAGGGGATTTTACAAATACTTTTATGACAGATAGGATAGAACTTATGTTGAGAAGTTTTAGCGTTCATGGTATCTATACCAAGTACGAATGTACTAGTTTTCTGGGAGAACGGTTTCGCGTCATTATGCGATTGCCACCGTTTTTTACGGATGAAGATGTCGGGAATTATCTCATCAACAAAGTCGTGCTCGTGCATCTCAAAGATCGGCGCGATAAATTTAATATGTTAATGTAGGTCAGGAATCTGCCATGCATTCTTTTTTCTTATGTTAGACCTAATATATGTCCATTGATTTTATTATTTATAACGATAGTTTCATGGTCAGGAAATTGTATGCGCTGGTGGCTGGGGAATGCCAAGTGGATGATCCCGATTCACCGCAAAACCAGGAGGTTCTACTTGGTGGCCATTTGTATGGGATGATTATTAAAGAGAAGCTAAATGATTTTATGAGCCTAATTGTTAGTTTGATTAATCAACACGTGTCGCGAAAGAAGTCTGCAGATTTCTTTGACGGTAAGTGCTTCGAATTCTGGAATTTTTACATTACAACCAGCTACAGTCGTGACTAATATCGAAATTCATTGACTGGATATATATTAGCAAAGTTTGTTCCGCAAATAATTAATTTGGCAGGGTTTGACCTCGGTCAAAAATTGAATTATTTCTTGGCTACAGGAAATTTGTCAGCAAACAGCATGTTGGATTTATCTCAGGTACGTTCCATTTCCTTTTGTAATCTATATAAAGATTGATTCATGCCTACTGTTAATGCTAAATATTGATAAAGTCTGCAGGTTATACAGTAGTCGCGGAACGATTAAATTTTTATCGATATATTTCCCATTTCCAATCAATTCATCGTGGTTCGTTTTTTGCCGAATTGAAGACTACGACTGTACGAAAATTACGACCGGAAGCTTGGGGTATTCGGATACTTCTTGTCGTTTATCTTTATAATTATATATTTGCTTATTGTCCATATAACTATTAATTTAGGCTTTATCTGCCCGGTTCACACTCCTGATGGTGCGCCTTGCGGTCTGCTCAATCACTTTACATCAAGTTGCAAAATAATTACTGCCAAACAGCCGACAGACAATCTCATACAAAAGTTAAATTTATTGGGAATAACCAAGAAAGCTACTGATGCTGGTCGAGCAAAAGCAAGAGGACCAGTCCTTTCAGTGCAACTTGACGGCAGAGTGGTAGGATGGTGTAGACAATCGATAGC